AATCGGGTTGTAATGAGGCTTAGGGTAAGGTGGGATAATAAAGTTAAAGGCTAACGGGATCGAACCAATCACACAACTCATCATAAGCCAAGCTCAATGCAAGATGAAAAGCAAGATAATCATGCGATTCTCAATATTCGACCAACATAGAAAAAAAAAATTAATAAAAATAAAAATCTGTACAGAATGCCTGCCTCTTTTTTTCATTTTCTTTGTTTTTCTGCTTTTTTTCAGATTTTTTTTCTTTTTTTTTTTTTTTAATACGAAATAGAAGATAAACTAGCCTACGTCGGATAACGAGACTACGTACAAGGCACGATCACATCTAAGTACATAATACCATGAGCTCTTCTTTATCCAAAAGAAATTCATATAATTGATTCGATCCAAGGTTCAAAAGATGGCATCAAGAAAATGATATTATAGCTTATAGTGTGGTTATAAATCAAAGAAATGTCTAAGGCTCAAAGGGGCTTACTAGTGATTTATGAAAAAGGGTGGGCTTCAAAAGAGAGGTTATAAAGAGAAATGGCAAGTCCTAAGTACCCTTATTAAGATTTTATGCATTCAATTTCATCAAAGGTGTACACATAGACATGCATAGCAAGGCAAGTTCTAGAAAAACCAACTAGTTGAGACATCACACATTCAAGAAAATGGAGCAAGATATTTAATATATGCTCATAAGCTCAAATCTCACCAATAAGAAGGTAATAGCTAAGTGTTAATCCCATGCGTCTCCATCACAGAATCATCAAGTAATATTCATCATCATGTAGCATCAAGGGCTCAAACAAAACAAGTATATGGACACAAGAAAATGATTGTTCTACTGAATTAGCATAGATGAATTAAAAATGACCACAAGAGAAATAACAATCAAGACTCAACACCATTAAACAAACCTCAGAACTCAAAACTCTGACAAACACTATTAACCACACGTCAAATAATATGAAGTAATGCTAGGTATAGAGACTCACAAAATTTTATTCAGGTGGCAGCTCTCATTATGCATGGATAATCTCAAAAATCTGTCAGACCTCCCAGTAAAGCTCTCACGATTCCAAGTTGCTGTGGAAAAAGTTCCAGGTCTCTAATGACATGGCCATGTCATTTAAATACCAACACCACCAGTCCCAATGTTGGAACAAAATTCCTGCCATAGAACAGAAAGAGAAGTATCAGCAACAGAAACGAATTATCTTAAGGCGTGGGCATGGCTTAGAAAAACTATCATTTAACATGTACGTGGTTCGTCCATGCCTTAAAAAAAAATCGTTTCCACCTTGAAATCACCCCAAATTCTTAACAAACTAGAGAAATAACAAAATAAAGACTAACAAAATAAAAAAAAAATAAAATAAAAAATAAAAATAAAAATTGGGTTGCCTCCCAAAAAGCGCCTTTTTATCGTCGTTGGCTCGACATGAAGCTCTCGATTTAATCAGAATAAACGGGGTCCTCGAGACCCATTCTTTCTTCATGCTCGGGCTGAAAGTTCTTGTGATATGGCTTAAGTCGGTGTCCTTTGACTATGAAACATTTCAAGCTCGACGGACTCCGAATCTCAATTACCCCATGCGTACAGACCTTGTTGACTTCAAAAGGTCCTTTCCATCTCGTTCGTAGCTTTCCTAGAAACAGCCGAAGACGGGGCTGGTATAAGAGAACTTTTTTCCCTACCACGAATTGCTTTCTCGAAATTAACTTATCATGAAAAGTCTTCGTCTTCTCTTTGTAGATCTCGGCACTCTCATAGCCATCGTTTCTCATCTCTTCCAATTCTTGAATTTGAAGTTTCCTATGCTCACCTCTTGCACTCATGTCCAGAAGCTTCATGACCTCAGCTTTCATGACTTCCAACACCACTGGATTCAAGCGGTGTTGGGGTTGATGAACAGGTTCAACTTCTATTTCCCATAAAATGTGATGCGTGCAAATTGAGGGGCTTATTCCCTTTATGTCCGAGATAATCCACTCCAACGCTTGCTTGTGTGACTGGAGAACTTTCACGAGCTCGTCTTCTTGAGTTTTGGTAAGCTTACTCGAAATGATCACTGGAAATGTGCTCTCTCCTCCTAGGAATATGTACTTGACGTGGTCGGGCAAGGGCTTCAGTTCTTTGATGAGTGTCTGCAAAATAGAGGGAGGGGATTTTTCGTTAGTATCAAAAGAGCTAATACCAATAAACTCACCTTTACCATTGGTCTCTAAGCCATCATCCATGATCACGTTCTTGTCCGATTCATTGGCTTGACCTGGGATAATGCTAGGTAATGAGTTGTCTGCTAAAGTCCTGATGGTATCACCCACGGTATTATCCTCTGAAAGGGAAAAAATTTCCTGAGCCAAATCATCAACCAAGTCAACAGATAGTACGGATTCTTCATCACCAGAATACTTCATAGAATTATATATATCAAATTTAATTAGTTGACCATCAAATTCCATGCTAAGAATTCCATTATGCACATCAATCATGGTCTTAGACGTTTTTAGAAAAGGTCTTCAAAGTAAAATAGGAGTAACAACATTGTTATTCTCCATATCGAGAACATAAAAATCCGCTGGAAAAACCAAGTCTTTAACTTGCACAAGAACGTCCTCGACCAAACCCTTCGGAAACGCATTGGACCTGTCTGCCAATTGAATGATAACTCCTGTTGGACTTAAAGGGCCGAGCTTCAAAGAACTATAAATAGCATATGGCATTACGTTAATAGAAGCTCCCAAGTCTAACATAGCTCTTTCTAAATGCATTTCACCAATGACACAAGGAATTGAGAACATACCTGGGTCCTTGCATTTCGTGGGAAGTTTCCGTTGTAAAACAGCAGAGACATTCTCACTTACCTTAACTTTCTCGTGGCGTTTGAGTTGCTGTTTTCGCTTAACGGTGCACAACTCCTTCAAAAATTTTGCATAGCGAGGCACTTGCTTGATGGCATCTAGCAACGGGATGTTCACCTTGCATCTTCGAAACGTCTCATAAATATCTCGGATAGGCTCGTCTTTCTCATGTCGAACCCATGCCTGTGGGAAGGGTGGTTCAGGTTTGTACTCGGAATAGGTCGGCTTCTTCTTTGCCTTTTTGTTCCTCTCTTCTGCTCCCAGGTCAGTTTCTATATCCAGTTCAGTTTCACTATGAACATGGTCAGCGACATGGCCATGTTGGTTATCCGAACCTGCTGCTTCAAACTGCTGTGCATGTGAATTTTTCTTTATCTGCTCCAACTCTTTGCCACTTACTAAGATCATGGAACTCACATTCTTAGGGTTTACCTCAGGTTGAGAAGGGAGTTTTCCACTAACTTGTGCCTCCAACCGATTCACAGAGGTCGCGAGCTGGCTTACTTGAGTTTCAAGGGTCTGGATGCTCACCTTGGTTTCTTTTTGGAATTGGAGAGTACTGGAGGCTAGTTGCTTCACGATGTCTTCTAACGAGGTGCCAGAATCACTTAAGCACAAATATCCAACACATAGTCCAAATTTTACTATATTATAAACATATATTTTCGACTTATCAATAACTAACTCACTAAATTCAATAAATCAAATCAATTTGAAAATAACTTATATATAATCAAGTCCTTAATAAAAATATTTACATTATTCTAACTAATGGAGTGTATTCGTCCGGAATTTCGAGTGACATTTTAAGATTTTTTAAGATTTTAGACTTTTTAAGTTTTTTCAGATTTTGGAAGAATCATATGAAATCTTAAGTTTGGAGGTGAGATTTGGATAAGATTTCATATAAGGTTTTTTCTTTTGAAATCCCAACAAATTTTAAAAATTGTTAATAAATGAAGGTGTATTCAATTGGGATTTCAAGTGACATTTTGAGACATTTTAAGATTTGAGATTTGTTATGATTTCCAGATTTTGGAGAAATTCTGTGAAATCTTAGGTCTGGAGGTGGGATTTGAAGTAGGATTTCGTATAAAGTTTTTTGTTTAGAAATCCCACCAAATCTTAAAAAGTCTTAACAAATCTTAGTGTCAAATAAATTAAATACCTCAGGATTTTGTAAGACTTTTTAAAATCCCAATTGAATAACTCAGGATTTTTAAAAGTCTTAAAAAGTCTTAACAAATCTAAATTGAACACACAGGATTTCTAAAGTCTTAAAAATTCATTAAAAATTCTAATTGAATTAGTCTCAAATAAGTTAAATACTTCAATATTTTATAAGACTTTTTAAAATTCTAGATAAATACCTCAAGAATTTTAAAAATTTTAAAATATCTAAATTAAATAAACTAGGATTCCTAAAGTATTAAAAATTCTTTAGAAACTCAAACCAATACACCCCTACAAATCTTCATCAACATAAATATTTTTGGGTTTGCCAATTTCTAATTGACAGGAATATGAGACAAAGAATATTGTGATGCAATTACACGGTATAATTAAGAAAGATCATGCACGATATAGTTAAGAAAGATCATGATAAGAACATGGAACATCATAATCCTAGTTACAATATATTTTTTCTTAACAGGTAACATAATACGGTGAATAAGTAGATGTATGATGGGATAGGGATAGGTTAGAAAGGATTCTGGGTACTGGAGCGGGCCTTAGGGGGTGATTGGATACAAATTGTACAGTAAAAAAACCAATTAAAACTCAAATTTAACTCAACTTTAACTCAACTTCACTATCTTCAATATTATCAATATAATTAAATAATATCAACCAATCATTCTTACACATCACATCAACTTTAATTCACTATTCATCTACTCACATAATTTTAACTAACTATCACTTCCAATCATTTTCTCCTACTTTTACATCAAATCAACTTTAATTATTTTATTTTAAATATTATTTTAATATATCCACTAACAACTAACCATACCACCTTTTTCCAAACTTAACTATAATTACAAAATAACTAGTTTTTTACTAGTTGAATTCATATCCAATCACCCCCTTAGTGATCAGGTGATAGATATGATCCAGCAGATTCCTATCTCGGAGGACGGTTTGGACGGTATGAGGTGGAGATTTACATGTTCGGGTGCATTCTCTACGACCTCGGCTTGGGGGAAAGTACGGCTGGGTGACCGGCCTAACCTTCTCTTCGGGGCCTGGTTCGACCTACTTACACCTACTATCTCTGTTTTCCTTTGGCGCCTCCTTTTGCGCCGCCTACCGATTGACACTGTGATGCAGATGAGGGGGTTCTCCTTCCCCTCGCGTTGCTATTGTTGTGCTGAGACCGGCGATTTTCAGACGGAGACCTTTACCCATCTGTTTTTAGAGAGCGAGACTGTGAGGAGAGTGTGGGAGCATTATACCAGTTATACTCATATCCTCCTACCCTACACAGATACTTTTTTTAGCTCCTGAGTTTTTTCAGACACCACACACACATTGGACACGTGAGCTTCCTTATTCCTTGTCTGATCCTTTGGGCTACCTGGACAGGGATAACCCTTTTTTGTGTTCTCATATTATTTTGCAGGTTGACCGATATCTCTCACTCCTCACCGCTTTAGGCAGACTCACCCAGAGAGACTGGACAGGCTGCATGCCACCTCACTGCCTTGCACCACCTCCGCTGGTGCCTGTCCAGCATCCAAGTCCCAGAGCGGTTGTTTGGCTGAAACCCGAGTCGCCTTGGGTTAAGCTAAACACTGATGGAGCCTTTAATCGACTTACTGGAGTTGCAGGAGGTGGGGGCCTGATTAGGGATCATAGCGGTGCCCTTATTGCCGCGTTTCATGCCCCTCTTCGGGCCTCTTCGAGCTATAACGTGGAGGTTCAGATGCTTCAGATCGGTCTTCAGATTGCCGCTTCAATAATAGAATATAAATTTAATAGAATAGCTCTCTCACATTTGGATAGAGTTGGACTGCCGCTGTCATCACTCTTTTGTCATCTGGCCATCAGGGCCCGTGGCAGATCCAGCACCCTCTCAGCGTATCAGAGCCACTCTTCAGTCGATTCGCTCTCGGATCTCGCACATCTTCCGCGAGGGGAACCTGTCAGCTGACTTCCTCGCTAGCATCGGGTCCTCCAGCCCCAGAGACGCATTCTTTACCCCGACGATATTCCCCTCCGCCTCCGCACCCTCATACGGATGGACCAGATGGGATATCCTTCATTTAGATTTGTGTAGTCGGTCCTACTTTTTGGCGCATCTTCCACATTGTGATGCTGACTTTTTCGCCGGGACTCTCCCCGGACCAGGATCTATTACTTTTTTGTATTTTCGCTACAATTGTCAGTTGTTCCTTGTATTGTTTCTTGCTTTTGTTTTTTCAGTTTCGTTTGACTTGATGATATCAGACATTGGACTTGTAGCTTTGTGACTTTTCAGCCCATTTAGAGTATTTTTATATATAGGTTAAGGGTCCGGCCTTAACCCCATCCTCATGGAGTATTGTTTGAAAAAAAAGAAAAAAGAAAAAAAAAAGTAGATGTACGACAGTCATGTCGGTTCATGAATTCATATCCTTTATGTGGACAAAATAGAAATTGTGTCATCCATATAAAGTAGGACTTTCTAATTGACTTGCTAATTAAGAATTATTATGAAGTCTAACAAGGCTTGTGAAATCCAGTTACAGTGACATGAGATTCATGCTTGTTTATGTCCGGCCAATTGGTTTATGTCTACCCTAGGGAATACATGAGTTGTCATGTCTTAACTATGTCCATTTTCAAGATATCCAGTTTCTATTAAAGATTAAAGATATGTATTAAGACAGAAATTGTGGGCAAGATATGAGTTGTCAATTTGTCATGCTCTTAACCAAGGTATTTGGTTTTCATTGAATAAAGACTAGACAAAAATGACATCGTTTCACGTGACTGTATGAAAATGCTACAATAGTGATACCTACATAGCGAGTCGAGGATGTTAAGAGAGGTAGAGGTCGGCCTAAATTCACTTGGGAATAGTCGGTTAAGAGAGACCTTAAAGATTGGAATTCTCCAAGAATTTAGCGGTGGACAGGAGCGCTTGGAGGCTCGCTATCAAGAACCGTGACTTTTGCTCCTTTCTCTCTCTCTCGTTTTTTTTTTTTTTTTTCGATCTCTTTCTTTCGGTTCGAGTCTTTTTGTGTTTCACTTGGGTTTCATCTCTAGCCTACCCCGACTTGCTTGAGACTAAAGGCTATGTTGTTGTTGTTGTTGTTGTTGTTGTAGTGATACCTACACAATAATTTCATTGTGACAATGTATTGTGTTCATTAAATACTTGAAAGAGTGACTGATAAGCAGTCACAGTTAGTTAAAATTGATCAAATTTTGATCTTGAATTAAGGTAAGTTCTTTTGAATAAAGTTGATTGAATGGAATGAGAGAGATTGTAATTAAGTATTATTTAAAATATAATTATTAAAACTGATGTAAAAGTATGATACAAATGATGGAAATGATATATAGTTAAAAATATGTGAGTGAATGAATATTGAATTAAAGTTGATGTTATGTATGACATAGATTATTAATATTATTTAATTATATTGATAATATTGAAGATAATGAAGTTGATTTAGATTTTTAATTAAATTGAGTAACCAAAAAAAAAAAATATCCAATCACAACTGATTTTGATGGGTTTTAACTTCTTATCAATCACCCCCTTTAACCAACTGCAAGTGTAAAGAATAACGTGTAAGGATATACTTTTTATAAAGATTAATGACAATTAATTACATACTACACTTATAAATAGTATTGATGCTATACTTTTCAACACCAAATTTTACTTCATTCAAGTTTCAAATAAGATATATCATTGCGTGCTTCAATGACAAACACTCTAATGCTAGATTATAAAACTATGTCATTTTAAAAGAATCAATGATATGATTTTAAAATAAGTCTTTCAATACTCAAATTAGTTTTTATGTTCATTTTCTCAATGCCCATGTAATATACTACTAATTTTAAGGTAATTTAAACAAGGTTCACATGTCGTGAAAATATAAAATGGTGTCACGACAGCAAACTCGTTAAGTGCTTATGCAGTTTTATATTTCAATAGCTTAAAATTGCTAATGTATTTGACCAAAATTTGTCCAAGTAAAATGGGATCGGTGCCTGCATAAATATTACTGGCTTCTTATTACTTATTAGTAACGAAAATAATTTTACCAAATTATAAAACTTATTTACTATTCACCGCCCCCCTATTATTACTTACTGCCCCCTTGGACAATTTTGCCCCTGACATTTTTTTCCAAAAAGTAAAAAAAAAAGAAAAAAAACTGTCCGGCCGGCGAAACCGGACGGCTTTTAGCCCGTCCGGCCGCCGGAACCGGACGGTTCAAAAGGCGTCCGGCCGGCTAGTTCGGACGGCATAAAAGCCGTTCGGAAAGTTCGTCCAGACGGCTTTTAGCCCGTCCGGCCGCCGGCATCGGACGGTTCAAAGGGCGTCCGGCCGGCCGGTTCGGACGGCATAAAAGCCGTCCGGAAAGTTCGTCCGGTCATTTTTTTTATAAATTATAATAATACTTATAATTTAATTATAATGAAAAATTATAAATTATAATTTAAAATTATAATTATTTTAATTTAAAACGAAAAAATAATATATTAATAAAAAAATTTATATTAATTAATTTATTTGAAAAAAAATTAATATAATTTAAAACAAAAAAATATTATATTAATAAATAAAAAGTATATTAATTAATTTATTGGATAAAAAATATTTTTAATTATCAGAAGAATAATAATTACTAAATATTATTAAATTAATTAATCACTATTTAAATGGGTAAAAAATTTCACTTATTAATAATAATTAATTTCACTTAAAAAAGTTAAATAAAAGATATATTAAAAAATATATATATTAATAATTAGTTGTATTAAAAAAATTATATATATATATATTAAAAGATATATATATATATATAAATATAGTTAAAGAATATATTAAAAAATATTTATGTAATTTGTTAGCAAAAAAATATTTACTAATTATTATTTTATATTTTTAATTCAGGGTGTTAGTAGACCTAGACAATCTGCCAGGAATGACGACGACGAGGTTAATGAATATTATCAAGGTTCTGGCCCCCGACACACTAGAAGTCGGGGTGTAGATGCGTCCATTCGTCGGGAGAGAGACAGACAGACGATGCTCCTCAACTACAATATAATTTTGTAATTTAGAGGGATTATACAATTAATTAGTTATGAAAGTATTTAGATTATCTTTATTATTGTTATAATCAATTAGTAGTGATATTAAATAATAAATTAGTTTAAAATTGTCATTGTACTTTATTAATGTAAAATGTAACGTTTCTAAATGAGTATTTTTTTTTATTTACCGTCCCCCGTGGACATTTTTGCCCCTGCCATTTTTTTCCAAAAAGTAAAAAAAATAAAATAAAAAAAATATTGTTGTCTGACCGATTGTCCAAGGGGGGCGGTAAGTAGTAATAGGGGGGCGATGAATAGTAAATGAGATTTTTAAATGTAAGCTTGAAATTTAGTCAGGTCAACCTATAATTAGATAATTTACAAAGTGCTACTTTATCAATGATTTTTTTAATATTGTTAAAAGGTAAAACTACATGTGGTAAATACAATGAGTTGAAATATGATATGTTTGTTATATTTCCATAATGAGAACATAATATGGGGATTGAACAGTAATGTCACGAGTTCCTCTAGCAGTCAACATGATATCTTGAAAAAGGAAAAAACAAAAAAATTAACAATATATAAAAATATAGTACTAATTATTCTATGCTAACTCGATTCGAATCTGTGAAACTTTAAATTAAAATATAAAATATACAGATGTTTCATAAATGAGAAAATACAGTCATACACCCATCATGCATATAACAGGTCAGAATAACTTCCTTTTTGACCATGAACTTTGATCGATATGGTTCTATGTATTTTTCTATATTAAACTAATTATAGACCCTAAGAACACGATGTATTTCTAAAAAAATAAAAATTATAATAAACGACAACATATTCAAACAGGATTTCAACAATAGTTCTAATAATGCTATTATTTTTGTTAGAATTTTTTAACGAATTTTAATAAAATCATTTATTGGATTGATTTTTAACAATTTGAATGACAAATATTCTAACGATTGAATTATGTATGGTCCAGAAAAAAAATTTCAATTGAAATTTTTATAGCAATAAATCGTTGAAAAAATAATTAATGAAAACACCAAATTGAAACAAAATTTTAATTAAAAAACATTAGTTCCAACTGAATGTTTTATTGTTGATGACTATTAGTATATATCCATTGGTGTTTTTAGCGTTTAATCATTATCGGAATATAGCAATTTTTTATAAAGTGATGTATTAACGTTATTCATTGATTGGTTTGTGTTTTGTCCAATTCAATTCATAAGTTGAATAAATCTGTGAAATGCTTCACAAGTCTTGAATGTTGACCAATCACAGATTGTTATTCGTTCCCATTGCCGCGTTTGACGTTTTTCTTTTTTATCCTAACTATATATATGTCACATCAGAAAACAGCTTAAATAGCGTGCCTTTATAAATTTTCATCACTTCATTAATTCATCTTCCCAAACACAGCTCTATTTTCTATCTAATTCTTCTTGAGAAAAGAAAAAAAATAAAAATTAGTGTTATAATTACAATACTTAGAATTTAGAAAATAAATGGCTGATACAATGACAATTGAACAGATGAGTGAGTGCAGAGAAGCATTCTGTTTGATCGATACAGATTCTGATGGTCAGTAGTTTCCTATTTAAAAAAATTTCAAGTGTATTAATCATAGCATCTATATTGTTTCAATACTAAAAATGTTGGTATACTTTTATTTTCGTTTCGAAATTCAAATTGCATATATATTTATATACTGAGTAATTAATGGGTTCATTTTCTGATGAATGTTGGTGNTTACGGTAGATGAAGTTGCATCAGTGATTCAATTCTTGAATGGGGACACAAGAAAGGAAGAAACTATTCAAGTGATGATGGATGATGACTTTGTTGATTTCCAAGAGTTTTTGGATATTATTTCCCAAAAAATGAAGGTATATTAGAGAGAATATTCTGAAACAATAAATAAAGAAACAGCAAAATTTACATTAGTTATGGAATTTTTGTAATGGGTTTGATTTAATTAAGGACATTTAATTGAGTTAATTTGATTTATTTGACAGGAAAATGTAGCAGAGGAAATGAAAGAAGCATTCGAAGTTTTTGATCGTGACCAAGATGGGTTCATATCAGCAATTGAGGTGAATATTTTATTTATTAATTATTAATTAATTATTTTCATCTTCACGTGTTTCTTTTGATTTTTGTTTTAATATTCAATCACATGCTTATATTTATCACATGATTTTTTAAATTCAATCACATGATTTACTAAACATTTTTCTTTTTAATCATGGAATAAATATGCAGCTAAGAAATGTGATGTTGAATTTGGGGGAGAGGTTAAGTGAAGAAGAAGCTGAACAAATGATAAAAGAAGCTGATTTTGATGGAGATGGCCTTGTTAGCTTTGAGGAATTTGCAAGAATGATGATCTAAGCTAATTTC